CAGGTTTTTCATCCTCATTGTCTCAGTTACCTCCATTTTTTGTAATAAGCATAGTTGCACACTTAAGCTTTTTTGCTTCACCAGTGTCACTTGCACTATCCAGAGATAAGATGGGGGCGATGAAAAGTAGGAAAAACTGAGTAATGAGCACTGAGCTAAAATCAAACAATGTGCATCCAGATACAGTGGACCCCCGACATTCGATGGCATTGACATTCGATAAATCCGACTTCAAAGATTAAGGAAATGTGTGCAAAGTGGGTTGAATTGCAAACCTTTATGGATGAAAATCACCCTAACACAGCTATTGCAAGCCGTGCTGGTGACTTTTACAATGACAATGTTATGGCCCGTTTTAGACAAAGGAACAGGAGGTACAGAGCTCTATGGACAGATATGTTGTGCGACAGAGGTCCAGTGACTCTCAAGCTGGTCCTAGTGGCATTAAAAGAAGAAGGGAAGTAACCCCGGAAAAAGACTTGATACCTCAAGTCCTAATGGAAGGGGATTCCCCTTCTAAACACTAACACCATCCACACTCTCACCTCCTCCCATCCCATCAATCATCACCAGATCTTCATTAAAGGAAAGTGTCAATTGTTCTATTGTTATTAATCTATTGTTATTGTAATTATTCTATTGTTAGTTAAGACACATATGCAACAGTTAGGTATCTTTATTATGAAACGTTTCGCCTACACAGTAGGCTTCTTCAGTCAAGTACAGAAAGTTGATGAAGCAGAAGTAATTACATTGAGACGATGTAATCAGTCCATCTCACTTAAGTTTTGAGGTGGTCAGTCCCTCAGTCTGGAGAAGAGCATTGTTCCATAGTATGAAACATTGTTCCATAGTATGAAACAATATTGTTTCATACTATGGAACAATGCTCTTCTCCAGACTGAGGGACTGACCCCTCAAAGACTTTAAGGGTGATGTGATACATCGTCTTCATAGTATCTTCTGCTTCTATCACTTTTCTGACTTGACTGAGAAGCCTACTGTGTAGGACGGAAACGTTTAATAGATACTAACTGTTGCATATGTGTCTTACTAAAACCTGTCGGTATTTATACCATTTTAATGTTCAATTATTCTAGCATTAAGCTTATATTTATGTGGTAAAATGTTTTTTTTCTACTTTTGGGTGTTTGCACGGATAATTTGATTTCCATTATTTCTCATGGGAATTAATTCGACTTTCGATATTTTGACAATTCGATGAGCTCTCAGGAATGGATTATATCGGAATGTCGAGGTCACTGTACACTGACCTTTGTTGGAGGTAGTTTGTGTCATCCTTCACCTACTTACACTCCCTGCAGATGCTTAGACAGTGGAGTTGACTAATGCATAGTGGGAGGTCTGGTCCTTCCTGACCATGGACTCCTTAATGGAATGGTACTTACTCATAGAAAAGAATTGCTCCATAACTCCTAATGAAATGTGCATTACAGACTCCTCACTTAAGACGGAGTTCTGTCCTAGGCCACGTCGGTAAACGATTCATTGTTAATGAGGAGAAATTAATGGTATTAGGGTGTGTCAAACATCTTTAATATTATTTTTAATGTCCACCCTTTGCACCATTTATCAAAATTTCTAGTATAGTTTTAAAGTTATTCAGATAAGTGTACAGTAGGGCCCCACTTATACTGCAGGTTAGTTCCACTACGCAGAATAGCAGACATTCCAAAAGCAGAATACCATCTTTTCCACTTATACAGTGGGCCCACTTTACGGATTTCACCTTACGGTTTCCGCTAATATGGCGGACTAATATTATGACCAAAATTTGCTTACAGAGCAGTCTTCAAATATGCCCTTACCCCGGTTTGTTTAAATTCTCAGTGAGCACATCTAATCATGTCTGAATTTCCAAAAAATTCAGTGTTTTAAAGTTATTGCGTATTTTATATGTACTCTGATAATTATGCTTATGTGTACCTGTACCTAAATATACTTACACACTGCACTGGCGTGCAGGTACACATTAAAATCACTAAGAGTCTCTACTCATGACGCCATAGTAATACTACGTAATAATAATCTCTCTTGGGCACATTAAATGTCTTATTTTACGTTAATATAGACATTTTCATTAATCCATCTATGATATTTTCTTCAAAATTATATAAGACACACGTTACATAGCATATAAACATTATACATACACCCACAGAATAAAAATTGACATAAATATGAGATTTGTTTACAAAGCGGCTTTGTAGGAGTGTTGGAAGAATTACGTTTTCTCTAGTCAAACACTGGGGGATAACTGCAAATAAATATTCCTTTTGTATGCCTTCACTCTATATATAGCAATACACTACCCTTGTGGGTTTAGTGTTTTTTATTTATTATTTAATAATTTATAATAATTTGTAATTAATAATTATTTAATTTGGGTATATATTTGTAATAATTGTATTATTTATATACAATATATTGTCAGAGATAATTCTTCTAAAAATTACATGATGAATGGAAAGTGTTGGTCTTTAATTGTTTACTGTACCACTGTTGGAGGACAACTGTACACAGAGTAAGGTGTTTGTATGAAATTTATAAAACAGACCAAAACGCATTGTTGTTTGTTTACATATGGTTGGTGGCAGGCTGGACTTCCCTACACTACCTACCTACACACACGAACTTCTACAAATAATAATACTTTTCATCTTCACCAACATTAAGACTACAAAATTTTAAAGGTAAGTAATGAGTTGTACTGTTTATGGATTTTTCACTTTATGGGCTTTAGCATGTCGATAGTATATTTATGTGGATGGGGTGCCAGGAGGGCTACCACACCTAACTTTTAGTCATACATTAAGACTTCGATATTTTAGATTAATGATGACTGTGTGTGTATTTTACGTTTTATTGTTTAATGCTGTATGTTTATTGTAACTTACAATGTTAGTGTAACTTGTTATTTGCATTTATTATGATTTATAAGTGGAAAAAAATGCGTCTGCTTATGGCATGTCTGCTTTCGTCAGTAGCCGGAACCTAACTGCGTTATAATGGGGCCCTACTGTTATATGCTATAATGCCAGATAACAAGTCTTACACTAACTATATTAAGTTAGTAAATATGAACTGGCATTTAAAACACTAAAAAGAAAAAATCCATATAATTACATCCATTACTTCCTTAAAATATTTGTATTATTAATGTCGGGTGAAGGAGGCAAGTTTTTATTTGTAGGAAGTAGGTTTGGGAGGTTATGTAGCCACGCCAGAGTCAGCCCACTCCACCCCCACACGTAATGTACTACGACATTAATTAAAGTGCACGAAGGATAATTAAATATGCTGTAACACATTTATTACCTTAAATATTTGTAGTTTAATGTGGATGAGAGGTGGTTTTATTTGCCATGGCTGCCAGGTTTGGGAAGATGCGTAGCCAGCCAGGTCAGCCCACCCCACCTTACCCACATGTAATGTAAACAATCCAGGGAACGCTTCTGGTTTTTGTTCGTTTTGTATTATACCATAATACAAACACTGTACATTGTGTACAAGTTGTCTCCATGTTGATACAGTAGAATCAATAAAGAGAAACACTCCCATTTTCATGTAACACCATTTTTAGAAGAAATGACGCTCTGAGTGAAGGTACACGAAAGGAATAATTTTCTAGTTACCCCCAGTAATATTATAGTGTACGTACACATTTTCTCTGATGTTTGCTGGGCTACCACATCTTATATTTATGTTAATTTATTCTTCTCTGAGGTGCATTCATCATGTTTATATGTTATGTAGCGTGTTTTTTTATATAGTTTTGAAAGAAATATCATAGATGGATTAATGAAAATGTCTATATTAACGTAAAATATGACATTTAATGTGCCCAAGAGATTACTTATTAATATGGTGTCAAGAGTAGAGAGACTTGTAGTGATTTTAATGTGTACCTGCACGCCAGCACAGTGTGTAAGTGTACAGTGGACCCCCGACTTACGATATTAATTCATTCCAGAAGTCTGTTTGGGTGCCGTTACTGAACGAATTTCTTCCCATAAGGAATATTGTAAATTAGATTAGTCCGTTTCAAACCCCCAAAAATACACATACAAAAGCACTTACAAAAATACACTTACATAATTGTTCGAGTTGGGAACTGATCGTAAGGCGGGGGTCCACTGTATTTAGGTAGAGGTACATATAAGTATAGTTATTAGAGTACATATAAAATATGCAGTAACTTTAAAACACTTGAAATTTTGGAAAGTTTCCAGACATAAAAGAGAGATATGCTCATGGAGAATGGGGCATGCCGTATTAGAAAGCCCAGGAGTTGTATAGCAAGTTTTGGTCATAATTGAAATTGCTGTATTAGTGGAATGCCGTAAAGTGGGGCCTTACTGTACTGTACGTATATTGTAATAAACAGAATAGAGGAAATCAGCTCTAACATACATTATTTAGGTATGCATACTGGTCAGAGAGCCTGTCGTAAGTCCGACAGCTCAGACTTATGACGGTTGTACTAATGAAAATGAATTCTGCTCCCATGTGCCTTAATGGAAATGGGCAGCTTCTTTAGGAAATGAAAACTTGAATTTAAATCATATACTGTTGAAAATGTGAGTTATGATTGCATGACTTAAGGTTTTCTACTATATAATAATTGTGAATGGCATCAGTCTTCAATGGCTGATACATCGTATGAAATAACTGGATCATTTCGTAGGTTTAGGTTGTGTAGGCACAAGTATGTTGGATTCTGCCATAGCTGGAGAATGTTTCTGATCAGCTTTAAACTTGCAGAGCTGATGTGCTTTTCTCAAAGGAAACAATCTCATGATGTTAGCTTGTGTAAGGTATCATGTGCCAGTTTTTTTGCACTGTTTATTCAATTTCTGTCATTATTTTTCCTTTTCTTAGAGGGTATATCATATTAACAAGAATAATTCATGTTGCACATGTTCATTAAGAATAATTCTTTCCCATGCAAAGGTTGTAAAACACATTTGTTGTTGCAGCTTTGATGATGGCTGTGCGTATCAACATAAAGTCACTGCAGCAGGAAGTTATAGAGACAATACCAGTACATACAAGTAAGTTTTCTTCTACATTGTTTTAACATTAAAAATCTCTTAATTTTTCTCTGAAAATTAATTTTAGTTGTTTGTAAATGCTAGTTCAGCATTTGGGTTTTCTGAAGTTTCAGTTCTGGTTGTCGAGTTCTTCTCATAATTTTTTATTGACCAGTGTTTATGTATGAGTCATCTACAGTGTCACTCTTTTAATATTATATTAAAGACTTGTTCCCTGATGTCATTGTGGTTCCTTGTGTTTTACTACTCTTATATTAAAGACTTGTTCCCTGATGTCACTGTGGTTCCTTGTGTTTTACTACTCTTATATTAAAGATTTGTTCTCTGATGTCATTGTGGTTCCTTGTGTTTTACTGTTATATTAAAGACTTATTCCCTGATGTCATTGGGGTTCCTTCTACTTTACTACTCTTATATTGATAACTTGTTCCTGACTTCTCAGTGGCTCATTTGTAGGTTTCATTGAGGTCCCCTTGTTCTATTTAAAAATTTGTATTTGCATTTTGTACGTTGTGATAATATCTTGCCCTGCTCTGTGTTCTGCCATAAACAAGGGGATGACATACAGAAGCCTAAGTCACTAGATACCAAATATTACAGAAGACAGGCTTACATTCACGAGGCTACTACCTCAGGACAACCTTGCCTCAACATTTTATATTATGTTAGTGGAGTGGCCACACATGATATACTGATCCTGGCTTATGCTTTACAAACATAGGAAGGGGGGGGGGAGCAGAAATAAAATCTGCACTCAGAGGGTGGAAGACAAAAAAAGATAATAAAAGGTAATATATAGTATGGCATAGACATTCTTCACTCATGATAGTGTTTAAAAGGAAGCATAAAATTTCTTGTATATACAGTTGCACTTCCCAGGCTGACACTTTAAACTCCTGAGATTTAACATATGCAGTTTTTCAACCTTATCAGATTTTACTTTGTGTTTGACTAGATGCTGGTTCCACACTTACATTTTATATTCCAGAACTAGTTATAAATTTGTGATAAGTATCACAGGAGTATTCAGCACTGGCACTCTGTATTCAAGAGTAACACTTTAATACAGAAACACCACCAATTTTCCTGCAACAGATCATCTGGCACCTCCTTTAGTTCGGACAAAATTACAAGTGAAATTCCTATGATAAGTTAATCGAGTTGGTGAGTGAATTAATCAAGGAGCTGGAGCAAAGTACCACCTTTATGGAACAAGAATTAATAAATTTACAATTGTTGCATGAAAAATTATGCAGGAAAAAATCAATACACATGAAGCAACTTTGCTTGGATGAAAAGTTTAAAAAGGTTGCCTAAAAGAATGTGTGTCCTATGGCTTTACCTTCAAGTAGCCTGGATGTCACACCTGCAGCATCAGAAATCCAAGATGAAGTGATCAGCTATGAAACAGGCAGTAATCATGACAGTTCTCAACTTCCAGATTGATAAATAAATTTTGTTAAAAAATCTTGTTTAATTAATTACTGAATTTAATTAATTATTTAATTTACATTTAATATTTCTTTAATTTAAGGTTCTAGCAGTCCATGGTGCTTTAGAGATATATAGGTGTATAATTAGTGGGTTAGAGTGTGTTGATGAAGGTCACCATTGTTGGTTCGGCAAAATGGTTAATCCAGCAAAGCTTTGGAACCAGGGTTGCTGGAAAATCAGGGGTGTACCTGTGTAGTGAGGATTGTCACAAATGTTGTACTTAATGACTGGCCACACTCATTTGTCATGAAGTGTCTTATGGATTACTGGGAGTTTTCAGATGAAATGCCCCATGAACGTGACAGTTCCACGCTGACACTTCAAACACAAGGATTGGTTGCACGTGTAGTGAAGCAATATGTCAAGGACTGGTCATATTTTTCTTATTAAGTGTCTTAACCATGAGTTCCACACTAGCAGTTTGTATTCAAGAACTGATCTAATGTTTGTAGTAATGTTATGAACATGGAAGTTCTGCACTGACACTTTATGTTCACGAACTGGCCTCATGTTTGTGACAATGTTATAAGCACAAGAGTGCCACACTGGTACTTAGTCCCTTGCTTAATCCTTTTTCTGTTTCTTGTGTTTTCCATCCTACTTCAGTTTTCTCACTCCTTGGAAAATCTCATTACTCCACATCTGCTAAAGTAGTTGTATATACTGAATGCTCAGAGTCATAGAAGGAGTGGGGTACGCAGCTTTTTTTCCAGTTGTATTTTTAGAGGAAGTTTGTTACGCTCTATTAGTATTTTTACTGCAGAGCTGTAAGTTCTATTTATAGCTGTCATGCAGCACATTGCTTCACTGTTTGCTTCATTGTTTGTTGTTTTTGTTTGAGTACATTGAAAGCAGTGCAGTCTTTTATTTTTTTTCATTCCTTTGTGCTTCACATTAATACTGCTTCCAGCACATCTTTGTGTTTTAAATTTAATGCTGCTTCCAGCACTTGTGTTACACATTCCATGCTGCTTCCAGCACGTCTTTAGTAAACACAAAATTTTTTTGAGGCCCCATGTCATATTGACATCACAGGCAGTAAACATATAGACGTCTCAGTTATTATTATGATCATAACTAAGTGCTAAACCCAAAAGAGTCAGTACTAAACTTCCCAAAATGCATAGCAGTTTGAAATCTTCTGATCTCCCACCAGTGGTTGTTCCTTTCAGACTGTTGCCCCATTGCCACCCAGTACTTGCAAGATTGCTAGCAATGTTATTGACCTACAAACTTGATCAACAAACTGTTTTTTTTTTTTTAAGCCATATTTTGGCTCATGGTCATCCATGCTCCATTGTTGGCACTTGTAAAAAAAAAATTGTTCTCATCTATATGTTGGACATACACCCGATGGCCATCTTATGGCTCCCTCTTGTTTTGTTGCAGCTTTAAGGAATTGTCTTAGGTCTGGTCTAGCATTATTCTTCAGGGTTCTTGAGTTGTAAAATAAACAATAAAATATTCTTTCTTCTTTCTTTCAACACATCGGCCATATCCCACCAAGGCAGGGTGGCCCAAAAAGAAAAACGAAAGACAATAAAATATACAATTTTTATATGTAACACAGCTTAAAGATTTGAATAAAGGTAGTGAGTGTTGTCAATCATTAGAATTTGTTACAGTTGTAATAACATCCTTGTATTGAGTGATAACTGGAGGGTGAAAGCTAGTGAGGTAACCAAAAAATTGATTTCCTGATGTGGATCCTTCATCACATATCCAGTATGGTGGAACCTTGGTGTTTGAACTTAATTGGTTCCTAAGTGGTGTTCAAACTGCAAAACATTTGATGTCCAAAACAGTATTTCCCAGGCTTGAATTATCAGCCTCACATGCTGGAGGATGTTGAACTGACTTCCAAAAGTCTCTGAGAATTAGATCAGTATCACAGGTCAGTTCAAAGCACTTTTGAAACACGGCTTTTGTGTAAAGTCTTTTTTTTTACAAATGAACTTATAGAAGCTGGTGCATTCAGACTCCAGAAAAACATTCAAAGACTGGATCAATTTTTTCTGAACAAAATTGCTTAGACTTGGTTCGTTCAAGGTCTGGTACATTTGAACACTGTGCATATGAGAGTTGGATAAATAGTTGAGAGGTATATGGAGAGTAGTATAGTTTGGGCTATCTGGTGAATTTTGGAAAGAATGCTTACTCTAATGAAAGTAATGAAATACCTAAATCAATACTTGCCCAAAGATAATTAAAAAAAAATCCTGCTCATTTTACATTCAGTAACAAAAAATCCTATTTCTCATTTAACTATAATACAATTTTTTTTTTTATTTCAGTCAGTTTGATTGTTAACAACTTGCCACAGCTGTATGTAGAAGGGGTTCTGCGTTACTTATCTGAAGCCGTGGAAAGCACACCCCACATTGGTCTTTACTCGCAGTGGGCAACATTACTAGTCACACATCATGGTCAAACTCTCAAGAATAGAGCACCACAGATTATGAGCACTCTTAATGCCCTCCAGAGGGCACTCTCTATACATCACACTAATCTAAGTAAAGTGTAAGTATTGTACCAGTCATCTTGTACTGTACATAACTGAAGTGAAAGTGTATTGTACCAATCATTTTTACCAGTCATCTTGTATTAGTCATTGTGTTACCAGTCATCCTGTACCAGTCATGTTACCAGTCATCTTGTATCAGTCATTATGTACTGGAGATAGTATTATCAAATCTTGCAGTGACTGAAGCACATCTAGTTATGACAGCATTTGTAATAGAATTATATTCATGGGAAATGTTAAACTTATGTGGAGAGCCCCACTTTACAGCACTTCACTTTATGGTAATTCACTAATATGGACATTTAAAATTATGACCAAAATTTGCTATTTGGACATCCATACGCCACTCTGTGTACAGCCTCTGTGAGCTCTGCGTCTATCGATTATGTCTGGAAACTTTCCCGGAACTCTCTCCAGATAAACACTGGCCGATTCCCACCAAGGCAGGGTGGCCCAAAAAAGAAAAACTTTCACCATCATTCACTCCATCACTGTCTTGCCAGAAGGGTGCTTTACACTACAGTTTTTAAACTGCAACATTAACACCCCTCCTTCAGAGTGCAAGCACTGTACTTCCCATCTCCAGGACTCAAGTCCGGCCTGCCGGTTTCCCTGAATCCCTTCATAAATGTTACTTTGCTCACACTCCAACAGCATGTCAAGTATTAAAAACCATTTGTCTCCATTCACTCCTATCAAACACGCTCACACATGCCCGCTGGAAGTCCAAGCCCCTCGCACACAAAACCTCCTTTACCCCCCCCCTCCAACCTTTCCTAGGCCGACCCCTACCCCGCCTTCCTTCCACTACAGACTGATACACTCTTGAAGTCACTCTGTTTCGCTCCATTCTTTCTACATGTCCGAACCACCTCAATAACCCTTCCTCAGCCCTCTGGACAACAGTTTTGGCAATCCTGCGCCTCCTCCTAACTTCCAAACTACGAATTCTCTGCATTATATTCACACCACACATTGCCCTCAGACATGACATCTCCACTGCCTCCAGCCTTCTCCTCGCTGCAACATTCATCACCCATGCTTGACACCCATATAAGAGCATTGGTAAAACTATACTGTCATACATTCCCCTCTTTGCCTCCAAGGACAAAGTTCTTTGTCTCCACAGACTCCTAAGTGCACCGCTCACCCTTTTTCCCTCATCAATTCTATGATTCACCTCATCCTTCATAGACCCATCCACTGACACGTCCACTCCCAAATATCTGAATACATTCACCTCCTCTATACTCTCTCCCTCCAATCTGATATCCAATCTTTCATAACCTAATCTTTTTATTCTCATAACCTTACTCTTTCCTATATTCACTTTTAATTTTCTTCTTTTACATACCCTACCAAATTCATCCACCAACCTCTGCAACTTCTCTTCAGAATCTCCCAAAAGCACCGTGTCATCAGCAAAGGGCAACTGTGACAACTCCCACTTTGTGTTTGATTCTTTATATTTGAACTCCACACCTCTTGCCAAGACCCTAGCATTCACTTCTCTTACAACCCCATCTATAAATATATTGAACAACCACTGTGACATCACACATCCTTGTCTAAGGCCTACTTTTACTGGGAAATAATCTCCCTCTCTCCTACATACTCTAACCTGAGCCTCACTATCCTCGTAAAAACTCTTCACTGCTTTCAGTAACCTACCTCCTATACTATACACCTGCAACATCTGCCGCATTACCCCCCTATCCACCTTGTCATATTTTTGTTTTTCAACAAACCAGTCGTATCCCACCAAGGCAGGGTGGCCCAAAAAGAAAAACAAAAGTTTCTCTTTTTAAATTTAGTAATTTGTACAGAAGGGGTAACTAGGCCCTTGCCTCCGGCATTTTAGTCGCCTCTTACAACACGCATGGCTTACGGAGGAATAATTCTGTTCCACTTCCCCATGGAGATAAGAGGAAATAAACAAGAACAAGAACTTGAAAGAAAATAGAAGAAAACCCAGAGGGGTGTGTATATATATGCTTGTACATGTATGTGTAGTGTGACTTAAGTGTAAGTAGAAGTAGGAAGATGTACCTGAAATCTTGCATATTTTTTTTTTTTTCAACAAACCGGCCGTATCCCACCAAGGCAGGGTGGCCAAAAAGAAAAACGAAAGTTTCTCTTTTTAAATTTAGTAATTAATACAGGAGAAGGGGTTACTAACCCCTTGCTCCCGGCATTTTAGTCGCCTCTTAGAACACGCATGGCTTATGGAGGAAGAATTATGTTCCACTTCCCCATGGAGATAAGAGGAAATAAACAAGAGCAAGAACTAGAAAGAAAATAGAAGAAAACCCAGAGGAGTGTGTACATATATACTTGTACATGTGTGTATAGTGTGACCTAAGTGTAAGTAGAAGTAGCAAGACGTACCTGAAATCTTGCATGTTTATGAGACAGAAAAAAGGACACCAGCAATCCTACCATTATCAAAAACAATTACAGGCTTTCGTTTTACACTCACTTGGCAGGACGGTAGTACCTCCCTGGGCGGTTGCTGTCTACCAACCTACTACCTACACCCTGTCATATGCCTTTTCCAAATCCATAAATACCACAAAAGCCTCTTTACCCTTATCTAAATACTGTTCACCTATATTTTTCACTGTAAACACTTGGTCTACACACCCACTACCTTTTCTAAAGCCTCCTTGCTCATTTGCTATCCTACTCTCTGTCTTACTCCTAATTCTTTCAATAATAACTCTACCATACACTTTACCAGGTATACTCAACAGACTTCTTCTTTCTTCTTTCAACACACCGGGCGTATCCCACAGAGGCGGGGTGGCCCAAAAGGAAAAACAAAATTTTCTCCTTTTACATTTAGTAATATATACTGGAGAAGGGGTTACTAGCCCCTTGCTCCCGACATTTTAGTCGCCTCTTGCAACACACATGGCTTACAGAGGAAGAATTCTGTTCCACTTCCCCAGGGAGGTAAGAGGAAATAAACAAGAACAAGAACTAGAAAGAAAATAGAAGAAAACCCAGAAGGGCATGTGTATATATATGCTTGTACATGTATGTGTAGTGTGACCTAAGTGTAAGTAGAAGTAGCAAGACATACCTGAAATCTTGCATGTTTATGAGACAGACAAAAGACACCAGCAATCCTACCATCATGTAAAACAATTACAGGCTTTCATTTTACACTCACTTTGCAGGATGGTAGTACCTCCCTGGGTGGTTGCTGTTTACCAGCCTACTACCTAGGACTCAACAGACTTATTCCCCTATAATTTTTGCACTTACTTTTATCCCCTTTGCCTTTATGCAAAGGAACTATGCATGCTCTCTGCCAATCCCTAGGTACCTTATCCTCTTCCATACATTTATTAAATAATAGCACCAACCACTCCAAAACTATATCCCCTCCTGCTTTTAACATTTCTATCTTTGTCCCATCATTATTATTATTATTATAATCAAGGGGGAAGCACTAAACCCATAGGATTATACAGTGCTTGGGGGAGGGATGGAAGGTATTCAGGTTTAACTCAGGGAACTGGAGCACAGATCCAGTTCCCTAGATCAAGAGCCCCTCACCAGCATCAAGGAACCTTCCTTGAGGGGAGCATCAACCCCAGCTGCCTTACCCCCTTTCAGATCTATATGCATTCGCCTATAATATTTATTTAACTAATAAACCTCTTTTTGTTTTTATCTTCACTAAATAGATGCAGCCATAATGAATATATGCTAAGCTACCTCTTGGCTCAGGCATCGTTAAGGAAGAAAAGACAGGTTGAAGATGCAGAAAATGAAAATGAAAATAGCAAAAAACTTAGCCATACTTCATCTGATGAAGAAATGGATGCAGAGGATCAGCTGGAAGACATGTTTTGTGAAGAAGTTGAACCATAATAGAAATAGTGAGAAAACCTTATAAAATACCAGTACAGTGGACCCCCGGTTAACGAACTTTTTTCATTCCAGTAGTATGTTCAGGTGCCAGTACTGACCGAATTTTTTCCTATAAGGAATATTGTGAAGTAGATTAGTCCATTTCAGACCCCCAAACATACACGTACAAACGCACTTACATAAATACACTTACATAATTGGTCACATTTGGAGGTAATCGTTATGCGGGGGTCCACTGTATAGTCTTGAAAAAAAAATTCTAAGATATATTTTGTCACTGAGAATAAGTAGTGCAGCAAATTTTAATAGATTAAAAAATCCTGCATTATGATTCATGAAGAAAGTCTTCACCAAAATACTTGGTCACGATGAACTTTGCATCAAAGACTAAAGTAAAATTTACTTTGATACGTACTTCTTTGATGCTCAGGATTTTTTCTGCTTAATGAACAGAGTGTCAAACATCAGTGAAAATTATGGCCTGTGGTCTGGCAATATTTGTTTACCGGTTAATATTTTTTTGTATTATGAGTCTGGGTTATCAAAGTGCTTACTCCTGTCTGTCTTGTTCCAGTGAAGCTCAACATTTTCACCATATACAGGGAAGAGACTTCATTATACTTTAATATTGCATTTTAAGATCAATTTTCAGATTTTTTTTTTCAACGAACCAGCTGCATCCCACTGAGGCAGGGTGCCCTAAAAAGAAAAATGAAAGTTTTTCTCTTAGAATTTCCTAATTTTTACAGGAGAAGGGGCTACTAGCCCCTTGCTCCCAGCATAGATATATATGTATAACTCTAGTATTTTTTTATTTATATATGTCAGCTGTAAAAGTTATTTGTGTATATTGAAGGCGCTGTATATGTTTGTAACATGTATGTAACTTGTTTCTAAAATGATGTTCTTTACATTATTAATTATTTTAAATATTTTTGCTAATCGAGATAACCTTGATGATTTGTTGATCTTGCACAATACTATTAAGTATTAAACATATAAATTACTGTTAATATATTTTTCTTTTTATATTCCTTACGTTTTATAACTTTGATAAACATATGACAGCCAAACCAGATTGTGAAATTCTTTGCTCAGTATTTTCCTTCAGCTCATTTGAGGGTTTTACAAAGATAACCCGCATATAGGAGAGGGGAGCTTACAATGACGTTTTGGTCCGACTTGGACCATTTACAAAGTGACGCTAACAAAAAGGAGAAAAGGAGGGGGTATATATAGGCCAGCAGACAGGGATGGGACAAGAGAGGTAGTGGTAAAGGTAGTAGTAGTAGTAGTAGTAGTGGAGTCAATCAAAAACAGAGAAAGAGGAGCACTGCAAGGGAGCTAGGGGCCCACAAGGGAGCTAGGGGCCCACAAGGGAGCTAGGGGCCCACAAAGAGTAGGAACAAGAACATAGAGGGGGTGGAAAATAATAATAATGGACCAAACACTCCAGGCTGAAGAAAGAAAATCCAAAGGAGAAAGAGGAAAGGGGAACAGGGAGAAGGGAAAAAAAGAATCAAGTTAAGTCTACAAATTCTGTTCTACTTCCCCATGGAATAATAAATTTGATGATTTTGTACCTGGAGCAATTAACAAATATTATAAGAGAAACTTCTTCTTTCAATAAACCAGCCGTATCCCACCAAGGCCGGGTGGCTCAAAAAGAAAAATGAAAGTTTCTCTTTTTAAATTTAGTAATTTATACAGGAGAAGGGGTTACTAGCCCCTCACTCCTGGCATTTGAGTCGCCTCTTACAACATGCATGATTTACAGAGGAAAAATTCTGTTCCACTTACCCATGGAGTTTACCTAGAGAGAGTTTCAGGGGTCAACGCCCCCATGGCCCGATCTGAGACTAGGCCTCATGGTGGATCAGGGTCTGATCAACCAGGCTGTTACTGCTGGCTGCATGCAAGCTGACGTACGAACCATAGCCCGGTTGGAGATAAGAGGAAATAAACAAGAACAAGAACAAGAACTAGAAAGAAAATAGAAGAAAGCCCAGAGGGGTGTGTATATATATGCTTGTACATGTATGTACATGTATGTTGAGGTGGTTTGGTCATTTAGAGAGAATGGATCAAAGTAGAATGACATGGAAAGCATATAAATCTATAGGGGAAGGAAGGCGGGGTAGGGGTCGTCCTCGAAAGGGTTGGAGAGAGGGGGTAAAGGAGGTTTTGTGGGCAAGGGGCTTGGACTTCCAGCAAGCGTGTTAGATAGGAGTGAATGGAAATGAATAGTACTTGGGACCTGACGATCTGTTGGAGTGTGAGCAGGGTAATATTTAGTGAAGGGATTCAGGAAACCGGTTATTTTCATATAGTCAGACTTGAGTCCTGGAAATGGGAAGTACAATGCCTGCACTTTAAAGGAGGGGTTTGGGATATTGGCAGTTTGGAGGGATATGTTGTGTATCTTTATATGTGTATGCTTCTAAACTGTTGTATTCTGAGCACCTCTGCAAAAACAGTGATAATGTGCGAGTGTGGTGAAAGTGTTGAATGATGATGAAAGTATTTTCTTTTTGGGGATTTTCTTTCTTTTTTGGGTCACCCTGCCTCGGTGGGAGACGGCCGACTTGTTGAAAAAAAAAAAAAAAAAACATGTATGTGTAGTGTGATCTAAGTGTACGTAGAAGTAGCAAGATGTACCTGAAATCTTACATGTTTATGAAACAGAAAAAAAAGACACCAGCAATCCTACCATCATGTAAGAACAATTACAGGCTTTCATTTTACACTCACTTGGCAGGACAGTAGTACCTCCCTGGGCGGTTGCTGTCTACCAACCTACTACCTATATATCAGGGAAACACGTCTTAAAATATACAGCCTCTCCTCACTTAACGACAGAGTTCTGTTCCTAAGATCACAGTAAACGAATTCGTCGCTAAGTGATGAGCATGCCATAATGGTAGTGGGTTTGTGTCAGCCATCTTTGATATTGTTTTAATGTCACCTTTGCACTGTATAGCCCTTGTGGCTTAGTGCTTCTTTTTGATTATAATAATAATAATAATGTCACCTTTGCACCATTTATAACATTTCTGGTATATTTTTAAATGTTTATACAGTAGCGTACTGTATATTGTAATAAACAGAATAGAGGAAATCAGCTCTAATATACATTATTTAGGTATGCATACTGGTCATAGAGTCTGTCGTAAGACTGAGTTGTCAGCAAACGAGTACTTCCTAAGTGAGGAGAGGTTGTATACTATTTTCCAAAAAGGGGCTATAAAATTATTTTTTCTAAATTTAACGGTTGCCTCCTGCCAAAGCAGGGTGACCCAGAGAAGAAAATATATTCACCATCACTCATTCAATCTCCATATTTCTAGAACTGTGCTGATATCACAGTTGGATTACCCTCTGACTGTGTCATCACCCACCCCTACTTCAGAGTGCAGGCACTGCCTTTTTTTTTTTTTAACACCTCGGCCATTTCCCACTGAGGCAGGGTGACACAAAAAAGAAAGAAAAAGCCTAAAAAAGAAAGAAAGAAAGAAAGGAAAAAACTTTCCTCATCATTCAACACCTTCACCATCATTCATACATAATCACTGTCTTTGTAGAGGCACTCAGATATGAGTTTAGATGTCACTCCGAACTGCCAATATCCCAAACCCCTACTTTAAAGAGAAGGAATTGTACTTCCCACCTCTAGGACTCAAGTCCGGCTAACTGGTTTTCCTGAATCCCTTCACAAAATGTTATCCTCCTCATACTCCAACAGCTCATAAGGTCCCAAAATCTATTTGTTTCCTTTTACTCCTATCTAACACGCTTGCTGGAAGTCCAAGCCCCTCGCCCACAAAACCACCTTTACACCCTCCCCCCAACCTTTCCTAGGATGACATCTACCCTGCCTTCCCTTCCCAACAGATTTACATGCTCTCCAAGTCATTGTACTTTGTCCCATCCTCTCTAAATGACCAAACCACCTTAACAACTCCTCTTCAGCCCTCTGACTAATACTTTTAGTAACTCCACACCTCCTCCTAATTTCCACACTACGAATTCTCTGCATAATATTTACACCACACATTACCCTTAGAATGGACATCTCCACTACCTGCAGCCTCCTCCTCGCTGCAGCATTTACAACCCATGCTTCACACCCATATGAGTGTTGGTACCACTATACTCTTGTACATTCCCTTCTTTGCCTCCATGGATAACGTTTTTTGTCTCCACAGATACCTCAAAGTGCTACTCACTTTTTTTCCTTCATCAAGTCCATGGATGTGGGGTGAGCACTTGTCTACAGAGAATAGCTGTATTTCTACCTCCAGCCAAATACTTTATAACTTGAAAAACTGAGAAACTATTTTTATCAAAAAATGAAATGCAGTTTAAGACCTAAAAGCAGCATTTCCACCTCAGTCAGAATCCTTCTTCAGCAGATCTACTGAAGAGGGTCTCTGGCTGAGGCTGATCTCTGCAGATCTCTTTTTACGTGTGTTATTTATTGCTTTTTCATTGGTCAGTGCTTATGATTAATCCAAACTTGTTTGGAGTGCCCACTAGACCTGCCAATTTACTACACTCTAGTGGTATTTAACTCTTGCATTCTCTCCTGAAACTCTGTCAATGATACTAGCATCACTCAGCTCATTCAAGGTATGAGAGGTAAATTTTGACATAGAAATGATAGAAGGGGTCTGTGTGGTAAGTGTGCACAACATAAAAAATCTTGCTCCACACCGTGTATGACAGAAAAAATGTTTGGCTTAAAATAAGAGCTTTGAGGTGTTTTCTAGAATGGTTTTCATGGTTTTTATTGACTGTTTCACGATATCAGTTGATAGAATGGAAGACATAGCACTGAAGTGCAGAGGATTTTTGGTCAATTTCAGACTGGAAGTAGGTTCGATTTGGGCGTAAAATAGTGGAAATATATATTACATGGGTTTTTGCTAGATTTGCTTCCGTTATTGGGATGCCCTAAACCATGACGAATCATTCTTACTATTTTATTATCTGAGAAATCGGCAAAACTTTGATTTTTTGTGTGATGAATTCAAAATGGGAAGCATGTGTTATATAAGAGAAGCCTGAGGACATAACTAATAAACAAAGGATAGGTTACTCTAGTACCTGGAATGCCTACAATGTTCATATTAGACTATTGGATTATTGGATTTTTTTTTTTAATTTTGTCTACCAAGTTCTGTCCACATTATGGGGTAGTTCTGATAGCTGAATAAGTACTTTCTTCTGCTTAATTGATAGAAAGGAAGACATACTAGTGAAATAGCTAGAAATTGAATTGGACTGAGCCAAATTACTGATGCATAAATTACACCCAGAGACCCTCAACTCTGTGCTTACGTAATTTCTTGAGGTTTCTATAAAATTTAGATATTTTGTGCATCACTAACTCAATAAAAAGATTCTCCACTATTTCAGACGATAATTAAAAAAAAAAGGGCCATACTGTCAGCAATTTTAATTGTATGGGTCGCAACAGTGAAAGGATATAGATCCAGAAAGAAACTGTTCTAAAAATGTGCTTTAGTTTATACATTATACTGCAAACCTCGCATCAACATCCATCGACAGAGTTTAACATCTTTGTGCTGGGATATGTGCATGCTAACCAGCATAGAATATGTGAGGCAAAGAACTCTGGAAAACACAGAGGTAAGTCAAAGAGCCAGAAACGATTATGCATGGATAAAGAGGGGAGCTCAGCAGCAATACGAGAATGACATAGCATTAAAAGCCAAATCTGATCTGAAGTTGTTGTACAGCCAAATCAGGAGGAAAACAACAGTCAAGACCAGGTAATCAGGCTGAAGAAGGAAAAAGGGGAGCTCACAAGAAATGACCAGGAAGTATGTGAAGAGCTTAACATGAGATTTAGAGGTATTCTCAGAGAAGATGGAAAGGCTTCCAGCAAACTGAGGCAGTAGGATATGCCAGCAAGTGCTGAACACATTACACACAACTGAGGAGGAGGTGAAGAAACTGCTTTGTGAATTAGATACCTC